TAAAAGATTAGATCACTACCCAAGGGTTAGAATTGTCTAAGACCTTGAAATTTGTTCTTAGTCGATGGTGAATGCAAGCGAAAGGACATGACATTTTCCTCTACTTTACTAGAGCAAAAAATTTGTATTGTATCTTTGATTGGCAATGCATAAAGTACAACACATCTAGAACTTGATTCTATTTGATGGAATAACCTTTGATGCATTTTTTTTTGGGAGTAAAAAATAAATACCAACTACAAAGTATATCACTCTCATCTTATTAGCAAGCAAACTATGTGAGCCCAAGAGGAGAGTAGACGATTCCATTCCTACATTGTAGAATGAAAACTGGAACCCAAATGAGTCATTTGCTTATTGGTTACCTTTGCAGAGAACATGTATGAGTAGACCAATATAACTCGAATAACCCTTAATGTAATTGCCAAAATGATTCAAAATTCATCAAATTTGGTAAAATTGCCCAAAAAGAAAAACACCTCCCTTATGATGCATTTATCATCATCGTTGACAATCACCAATATCTCTCTATATATGATATGTTTTTAGATTTTAAAATAAATATATACTATTTCTATTGTTTAAAATTGATCTTTTCGATTTATTATAAAAATTCAATCAAGTTAATTTTTATTCTTATTTTTATATAATTTTATTTATTAATAAATATGATTTATTTTCTCTATTTATGAATTCAAATAAGTTTTTTTATACCTATTTTTATTTGCTTGATTCTTATACAATCAAATTTTAAAAATAGAATATATGTATTTTATTTTTTTATTCTTTATATAATCAAATTTTATCGAAATCAATTTTATATTTTTTGTTTCACTCTATTGACTTCAATATATATTTTATAATTTAATTTTTTTAATCATTTTTCAATATATACTATACATTCTCACTCATTGAGTACTATCATGATGTATAAAAAAATAATAATATTAGATTCATTGACTTTATTAGAAATCAACTATGCATTTACACATATAACACTAACTATTTTCTATTCTTTTTTAATATTTTAATATTAATTTTTTAATTAAAATAATTGAAATAATATTTTAGAATAACCGTCGAAGAATTCAAATACAATTTTTGTATACTAATCTTATTCATTATTTTGTAAATAAATATATATAAACTAAATGTACATATTTAAAATAATAATCTTCTCATCAGTAAAAAAGTTTCATTTGTTAATTTTTATAAAAGTTTTTACACTAATTGTTGTTTTATTTCTTCGATGCAATGTTATGAAAAAAATATTAAGACGTTTTTTTAAAAAAATATATATTAAAATTTTGTTTATTATGGGTTTTTATTTAAGAATAAGTTCATAAAAAAGAATGAATCATATTTTTTGAACTTAAAAATTTATTCAAAAATAAATAACTATATATATATATACAAAATTTTGATTAAAAATTATAAAACGAGATGAAATTTTATCTTTTATATTTAATTTAATATATTTTAATTAACCAATAACAATATATGTTATCAAACCGAAATAAATATGTTTGGTTCGGTCTATAGTGTAGCATGAGAATCCAAGTTGTTTTTGTATATGCCTAAAATTCTTATTCAGCTTACTCTTCATATGTATAAAATTTCTATTTACTTGATGGCAATTTAAGTAACTTTTGTGTGTTATTTTTTGTGTGCTTTTGGGGTATTAATATGTAAATTTAAGACTTTTTCTTATTTTGGTTCCTCATGTTGTAACATTTTTTTCAATCCTCATCTTTCATTTTTCTTTTATTTTCATGCGAGTGTATGTGTGTATGTATTAAAATTATAAAATTTAACATATACTTCAGCTTATATTACTCTTATTATTTAAATTTTATTCTTTGAATTTATCATTTTTTATGAAAATTCTCATCCAAGTAACATTTTTTATATAAATTTTTATTTACTAATAAATATAATTTATTTTTTTCTATGTTTGAATTTTAGAATAAAATTTTAAAACATGATTGTTTTATCTTTTTCAAAAAATAAATTGGTATAATATATATCATGAATTTTTAGAATTTTAAGATGATAGTTGCATATATATAAATATATAATTATTTTATTCTAAGAGGTTAAAAGTTCATTTCAAATAATTAATTTCACTTCACTAGGTATAGTCAAGGCTTATAAAAAAAACTATTGAATCATTATTTTTATTCAAAATTAACCATACATCTTCCAACATAATGCAAATTATTTACTATGAATGTTTTTTTAACATTATAGAACCAATTTATTTGACATAAAATAATTTTTTAAAGAAACCAACTAATTATTCAAATGCAGTTTTTATCTAAGTTTATTGATTATTTTGTAAAGAATTATATTATATAAAGATCCAATGCATATACTTTTTTTAAAAAATCTTCTCACCAATATTAAATAAGAATAAAATTTTATTTTTTCATTAGTTAATTTTTATGCAAATCTATAAATTAATTGTAATGTTATTTTTTGGATACGTTCTTATAAAAAAATATATTTTAAAAGCATTTTTTTAATTCTTAATTAATTTTTCAGGTTTAAATTGTTACAAGTTTTTATTTAAAAATTCTTGAATAAAGAAAAATAAATCATGTTTTTTTAAAGCGAAAATTTTATGAAAAACACAAATATATATATATCTCGGGAGAGTTGTCTTTATCGTATAGAGAATCTTCTCATATTGAAGGACTATTCTCAAATTCATTTTTCAATAAACGTAGTTTATGCCATTGAAAGTATTACTTTCATCAATAATCAATCGTATCAATGTGTTATCGGTCATACTATACAATCTAAGAGGATAGAATCGCATACGATTTGGTTAATTGAATTTTATAAATAAAACAAAACATAAATTAAGAAGTAAAATCTATGTTTGCTCTCACTATTTTCTTCGAGTTCTATAACCTTCAATATAGGACTAAAGAAAACTTTTCAATTCATTTTCCTTAGTGCGTTAGGATCCTATCCTCTAACATGCATTAACCTTGAGTTATTTCAATAAGTCATACATAAAGGCATAGGTAGGTAACCTCTTACTAATTGCATCCAATGCAATTCCTAATCTCATTGACATGACAACTCCTTTTCATCTCACATCTTATGCGAATACCAATATTTACCTACAAATTCGTTTGACCTTGAGTTATCTCAAGAAATCCAACAATTCATTTCAGAGTTAGGCCCAAAAGTTCGAAGACATTACATGATCCATGATTTGATTCCTTCGAGGAAGAGGTGAACTTGAGTTATCTCAACAAGCCAAGAACAACCAAAAGAACTTAAGTTATCTCAACAAGCCAACAACAACTAAAAGATTTCTCTCCTTATAACATTGAAAGGCAATTAACTTGATATTAATTTGAAGGATTTAATGTAGTACATCTTATTTTAGCATGCATATTAGTCATCACTCATATTAATCTTATCATGCATACTATTAATCGAATAATAAATACATACATCTTATGCATGACTCTAGGATCCATGAATGGTAATAAATCCCTACTACTAATTTTATCGATGGAGAATCATCATCGATCCCAATCCGTCCCTAACAATTAAGAGACTCGATAATTCGTCAACCTAATAATCTTATTATTAAAACAAAATTTTAAATTAAAATTAACTAATACGTCTTTTTTATTTGTCATTGTTATTTTTTATTTTTTTGTCGATGAAGAATCGTCGTCACTCCCTAAGAATTAGAAAACTTGACAATTCTTTAACTATTTGATTATCTAAACTAATTATGACAACAAAATTTAAAATTAAAGTATGCTTTCTTTTTTATCATTAATATATATTTTTTATCGATAGAGAATCATTATCGGTCTCTAAAAATTAAGAGACTTGACCATTCATCCACCATTTAGTTATCTAAACTAATTATGAAAATAAAATTTTAAAATTAAAGTATGCCTTCTTTTTTATCATTTATATTTTGTTTTTTTTTAATGAAAAATCATCATCAATCCCTAAAAATTAAGAGACTTGACCATTAATCCATCATTTGGTTATCTAATCTAATTATTCAAATAAAATTCTAAAATTAACTAACTAAAATTAACTAAAATAAATTATAAGAGATTAAATTTGTTGAAATTTAAGTTAATCAAGACATAAATATACATAAATACAGATATTCAAAATAACTTTACTTAAAAATAAAATAATAAAAATTTTAAAAAATTAGGCTTCCTTTTAATAATGGGTCCGGCTCGTTAGGCTAGCCTACTAGACGTACTCGTTTATAGGTTGGAAAAGTCCAACCCTTATTTCTTTCTTTTTTTTTTATAACAAAACCATTCCTCGTATCCTTTTTTATACCAGCTTCGCATTAACAAAATAAAAAGAAATACCCTTCATCTTCTCTCTCTCTCTCGCTTCTATCTCCATCTCCTCATGTCTCTCTCTAAATAGATTTTTATGGCGAGACAAAAGTGAAAAGAGAATTGTGTTCATATTAAGAGAGTGAAAGAGAAGTAGAGTTTCATTTTGTTTTGGGCACGGCTCATTGTCGGGCCTATCTCCTTCAATGTTTACTTCTCCTTCTTTCTTTTCATCTTTAACTTCTCTAACGACATTTTTACAGCTTATCAAAATCATTCATGTCTAAAATTTGACAAATTCGTCTAGAGATTCCTTATCATTGTGCAAACCCTCCATTTTGGCTTTAGTTCCTAGTTCTCTCTCATATGGTCATTTTCCTTCTCATTTAACATTTCACTATCCCATTCCCACCTCTCTACTTCTTTCATTTATTTTAAAAATTAGCAAGCAGACCGAAGAGGGAAATGTGAGATCTTAGTTGACAAAAAGGGAGAGAGATGGAGGGCTCGCCTTATCTATGAGGCAAGAAAACTCCAATGCCAATCTCCCTTTTTAACCTTGGATCTAGTAAAGAAAAAAATCTCATGCTTGCTATATTGAAGTTTTATCTTGTAAGTTTGTTCGAAGATGAGGCCTAGTAATTGAGTCAGACTAAAAGGATGCCTCGCTCCCCTATTTTCATACCCAACGTTTCCGCCTCTACTTTGGGTCTCGCTATGGATGGTGATGATGGATACATTACATACGGGTAATGTGATCGTGAAAGTAAAAGATGACAATGGTTATGGTTTGGAGGATATGCCTACCAAATGTTTGAGTTTTTGCTTATGAAAGGGTGAGTTTGTTATTTTTAGGAAGGAGGATCCGAGTTTAATTATGGAAGGTTTATAGAGGTTTAAGGTCGCTTGATTTAAGGTCTTAGAAAGAGAGAGAGAATTGATTTCTATTATTAAGGATAATGGTGATCTTATGTAAGGTTGCTACGGTTCGATAGTTGTGATTGATGAGAAGACAATATATAAGCAAAGGCTGGCTATATGTTGTATTATTTCCTTCGTTTTTTAAAAATATGGTGGTTGCTATTTTGACATAGGCCGATTGTAGCTATAGAGGAGAGGGTTCTGTATGTGATGGGATCCCGAGAAGATGGAGGCAAATGGGCTTTTGATGACTACATAATGGTCAAAGGACTTTGGCTTAATAGAGAGGAAACTATGAGTTTGACAATGAAAGGCCATTTAGATATGATAGTTTATAAAGACTTAGAGGAGACTTAGAGGAGGGAGGAAGATGGCATCTTTGGAAGAGCCATGATAGCCATGCTTTTTCAATTAAGGTGATTGCTTAACTTTTATTTTTTTGTAGAGATTACATTTTTAGGATTTTTTTTTGTGGAATAGGGAAATTGTGAAGGCCCACTAAAATTAAAGGAAAGAATTGCTTTGATAGGAGGTCTTTAGGGTTGGAAGATGAGTTATCTCCTCAATCATTTTTCTTATTCTTTATTTTTTTATATATTTTATTTTATATGTATTTTTTACATTTTTATTATATTTTAATATTTTAATTTTTGTATTAAATTTCAAACTAAAGCAAAATAAGATAAAATAAAAAATAAAATAAGAGACAAATAATATAACAAAAAACATGAATAAATTTTGGGTTTATGACAATTGCTCCTTCACACGCTTATGACACAAAGTTAAATGAAAAATATGTTTCCAACGACTTTGTATAATAAGCTTATAAAGAAATTCTTTTTTTTTTTTTTAAGAGGTTGGTCCGTGATTGAATTCGAAATTAAAACTATGATGAGATGACCTTGTTATGAAGAATGGTCCGCCCTGACAATTAAACATTCATTGCATGACTATGTTGTTAAAGACAACGTATCCCGAAAATTAAATAAGGAGTAATGGAATAAAACGAAACCATTTCCCTTGAAAACAACAAATTTGTGCAAATGGAATGGAATATCATAAGGAATGGCACTCAAAACACAAAGCTGTAAAATAAATAGATATATGGTTCTTTCTTTATTATGGTATGTGCATTGATAAACCAATAATTATACTGAAGCGAGAAAAATGCATCAAAGCCAACAAAGAAATGCATAAATCGGATAACAAGCATTGGAAACTCGAAACCAGCTTTGAAAAAGCAAAGGTAATGGGGAGTTGCGAAAAACCAAAAACATTAGATGCAAAACATATCATTTTTTGTTAAACGAGTCCCGAAAAAGCAAAGGTAATGGGAAGGTTCGACGAACCAAAAGAAAAAACACAACATGCCATTCTTTGTCATTCAAAGTGAACTAGGCTCATAAATAGCACTATGACACGCAGATGCTAAAGGATAGAGATAGATAATCCGAAGACATGAAAGACACATGATCATGAAAATCTTAGCACCATATGCAACAAACGAACCAAATCATTTCCCATGAAAAGAACAAATCAGTGCAAATGGAATGGAATATCATGAGAAATGGCATGGAGAACGATTGTAAAATAAACACAAACATGGTCCATTTTTTGTAACGGCATGGGCAAAATTAATCAATAATTGTTCTAATTAAATATCGGGAAAAAATATATGAAAGCCAATAAATGAATGCATAGAAGAGATAATAGATCGATTTGTATTGATGCAACAAAAAGGCCTTACAAAGAAAATACAAACCTAAAAGTCGAACAGAGACGAAGAATACAACGTGGAATCATAAAGTGGAGAGTGATGGTAAGACAATAAGGAAGACTCGCCTAACAACAGAACTGTGAGATGCGAAAGGAAAAGCCCGAATAAAAAAGACAAAGAAAACCTAATAAGAGAGAAAGGAAAGGCAAAGTGCTTTTAGGAAGAAATAACAAGGATTTTTTCAAAAAACAATGAAAAACACAAAGATCAACAACATACAATTCATTATTGTAATATAAAAAATAGCTTAAATATGTTATATTAGCTAAATGCTCATGCAAGCATGAGTGGAAAAAAAGGCAACAATTTTTTTTTTTCTTATGTTATTCCAATTGAAAAATGGTAAAGGATAGTGAATGTCAAAAAACCAAATATTTCCCATGAAAATAACAAATTTATGTCGATGGAATGGAATAAACGAAACCATTTCCTATGAAAACAATAAACTTGTGCAAATGGAATGGAATATCCCGAGCAATGGCACTCGTAACATAGGACCGTAAAATAAACAGAGATGTTGTTCTTCCTCTATCGTGGCATGGGCACGGATAAACCAATAATTGTACAAGTGGTAGGAAAGAATGAATCAAAGCCAATAAAGAAATGCATAAAATAGATAACAAGCAATGGAAACCCAAAAACCAGCTTCGAAAAAGCAAGGATAATGGGGAGTTTGGCAAATTAAAAACAAAGATGCCGCATATCATGTTTTGTTATGCAAGTTATGAAAGAGCAAAGGTAATGGGGAGGTTCGACGAACCAAGAGCAAAAATGCAGCATGCCATTCTTTATTATTCAAAGTAAACCAAGCCCATAAATAGCACTATGGCATGTATATGTTAAAGGATAACGATATATAATCCGAAGACATGAAAGGCACATGATCATTAAAATCTTACCACCATATTCAATAAAGGAATGTCAAAAGAACCAAATCATTTCCTATAAAAACAACAAATCTGTGCAAATTGAATGGACTAGCATGAGAAATGGTACAAAGAACACAATTAAAGCGATAAAAGAAACACAAGATATAGTACATTTTTTCTCATGGCATGGTTACAAACAAACCAACAATTTTTCTAATTAAATATCGAAAAAAATTTATGAAAGCCAATAAATGAATGCATGTAAGAGGTAACAAACAATGATTTATAATGATGCTACAAAGAGGCCCAATAAAAACATGCAAACCTATAAAACGAACAGAGAGGAAGAATACAATGGTGGAATCACGCACCGGGGAGTGATGGCAAGACAATATGGAGGACTACCTAACAGCAGAGTGTGAGATGCGGAAGGAAAAGCCTAAACAAAAAAGACAAAGAAAACCAAGTAAGAGAGAGAGAAAAGGAAAAGTATTTTCGAGAAGAAATAAGAAGGATTTTTTCAAAAAACGAAGAAAAATGGAAATATCAATAACGATAGAATGCATAATTCTAATATAAAAAATAGCTTAAATATGTTATGTCGACCAAATGCTCATGCAGCATAAGTGGAACACAAAGATGCAACAAGTTTTTTTTTATTCTAATTAAAACAAGTTCATCAAAGAGCTACCTAAATTTAAGTTAAAAAGAAAACAATATGCAGAATAAAGTGCAAACAAGGAACCGCATCGAAGGACCATAGAAATCAAATTTTTAGTAAAGAAAGGGCACGACCTATCATTTTTTTGAAATTAGCAAGCAAGCAACAAAAAAGCCAAAATAATGGAAAGTCAAAAAAGAGATCAATTGCTTATCCAATTAGCATCCGGAGTATCTAATTGACATGAAATTTCAAGGTAAACTACTTCTATTGAACAAGGTGCATATAAAATCTACAAGCAAAGTCGTCAGTCACCGTATTTTTTTAATTTTCTCCAATCTTAAACACCACAAGGAAAATTAGACGTATTTAGATATGAAGGCATCAAAAAAAATCACCATGTTTTTCTATCAAGACAATTAAGCTCTTCTATTGATGTCTATCACCAACACTCACTGCCAATTTCACGCCAAGCTTTGGCCAACACAGTAAAAGTGAATCAAATTGGCTATCTACTAACACACGACTCAACTTATTCCGTGCTATGTTTCTAATGGGATGGCTGGACATATGCATGCCTCTAGGGAGATGTGTAAGCATTCCGAAGTTCAATTCCTTTAATTATTAAGTTTATGTGAAACAAGAACAATGGATCACCGCAACTTAGTGTTGGACTACTAAAAAGACTCCACTGGTTGCTATGATTCTCAAATAATATGATCTCAAAGTGTTTTCAATATCTAGAGAAATAAAAAGATTCTACATCAAAAAAAAACCAACAGATAAGGAAACAAAAATTTATTGAACGGTTGTAAATGAATGAAATCGCATACTTGATACTACATCAAAACATTAATTTCTTGCACTTCTTGAGCTATAATTACAAGAATTATATTTGTAATTTGTTTATCAAGATACAATGCTGCAAAATATGATGTTATATTGAAAATTATGATTCTAAGCATTTGAAAATATTGGACCCTATTAGTTGCATGAATGGCAAGTGTAGACCGAGTGCTACCTCTCTTACACTACCCACACATACACTTTTAGAGTAGAATGAATATCAAGAATTTGGAACCCATTATGAAATAGATCCCATTAAAAAATTCAAAAACTCGGAGAAAATTTGTTTGTATAGATAATGTCGGATGTTTTATTTGAACATCCTTCCGTAACTTGTAACTCGTTTTTTTCTTATACATGCATTCATCGCCTAACACCTAAAATGCGAAGCCAAGTAACAAAAAACTTTGATTCGTAAAAAACGTGATGAAATTTTTTTAATAACTTTTCTTTGGAGAAATTTGAATTGATTTTCCTTCTCCAATCTCTAGCTAATTGAAGAGAAGTTTTGTTTTCTAAGAAAAAAGAAAAGAGATCAGCTTGTTGTAGTAAAATCATGTTATCCTTGGGAAAATCGTTAAATATTCACATCTTACTTACATTTGAAAAAAAAAACAGTAGATCTCTATTCCGCATAGGAAGACTTCTAGTAGCTACCGAACTAGGTGACTTTTCCATTGTAACGTGGAAGAAATAGAAAGTTGCCAAGCTTTGAACGATCAATACACACTCGCAATAGAAAAGAAAATAATCGTAAAGATTGCCAAGCATGGACATAATTATACTATTTCCGGATGGAACATCTTGTTATTTGAAGAACAAAATTTAACACAATGATCTATAATCCCGAAGTCTTTGTGAAGAGTGGCCAACATAGGATGGATACAAAAAATGACAAGAGTAAGAGACCCGTAAATGTTACACCGACTTGTATTGAGATCATAAAATCGGAAGATTTAAGTCTTGACTCAATGGATCCAATAACATAAGTAAAGGTGCTAGAATGTAGACCCAAAAAGAAAACCGAATGATTGTTCAAGAGCACTTACAAGACTACAAAGTAGGCCGGAGTGAGCTAAAGACAAGGAAAAAAAGAAAACCTTAAACATTTCATATACATTCTTTTTGATATGAATAATCAAACATGCTATAAGAAATGCAATCATACATTATTAAATGCAACGTAATCAAGAATATGTATGCTAACGAGTTAGCTAAAAACATTTGTGCGTGTTCAAGAAAATGCAAGATAAACTGGTTGCAGCTTACAATTCAAGAAAATACCACATCAAAAGTTCCGCTTACAAGTTGAAATCACTATAAGGAGAGGAGAGAAGGCAAAACTAGAAGAACTTTGAAAAATCAAAATCAAATATCAATATAGAAGAGAACAATGAAATAACAAGATAAATCACCGTGATCCAAATGAGGAACACAAAGAAAAGGTCTTTCCGAAAGAAACATGTACATAGAACTCCGATTCAATGCATTAACAATATGGTGCCGAACAAGAAAGTAGAACTTGTGAATCAACTATTTTTAACAAAACATGGGGAAATAAATTTATAGATCAATGGCAAATAACAATTCAGATCTCTAGAACTTCTATGCCTTTTGTGATGGAAAATCCTATTGAACACAATAGAAATAGCTCTGGGGATTATCAAGCATATACAACTTGTAAATAATACAACAAATAGACTTCCCATGCTAATGAAATGTAATAATAACTTATCTTTAATACACTCGCATGTATATATATGAAAGATTTTGTCAATCCGTATGCTTGAAAGTCTGAAATCAAAGGCAATGCCTACCTTTCTAAAAGCCCATATATCATCCAAAGAAATTGGCAATATCATCTTCGAATAGCATCAAGAACATCCTTAAATGTAGCATCACCATAATATTCAACAACACCAAAGTTGATAAAATTTCCGAGCAACACTATCACACGTAATATAAGCAACTATGTAATGTGGCCTCAACATATAATTAGGAGGTCAACTCGGAAATAAGAAGGAAAAAGGAGGAAAGTCAATCAGAAAAAGATTTTACAATAAGCTAGCTGAAATAATTTCCGAACAAATCGCCACAACACAAACCGAAAAATGTCACCATCAAATGAATCGTAAAATTTCTTCATTAAACATGCATAGAAGACAGTGATTATCAAACATAATGTTCACCCTCTCTTATAAGCTTAGATGAGATATCAACCACCAATTTGATTCAGAGTTGTCTAATAATGAACCTTGTTGCACTTGTTACCGGCATGAATTTAGCCGTAAAGTATAGTAAGTGTCCTTTTTAATACCTTCTCATGTGTTAAATTTTCCACAAATTACATAATTTGTTATCCTCGACAAGTATGCATGTAGCATTAGATCCTATGTTAGACAAAACTTATGCATGGACTACCCATGCCGCCATCATTCTTTTAGTGCTCATTCTCCATCCCTAGTCACACAATAATTTTCCTCTGATTCTATAATTGATTAGATATAAGTACTAGCATTAGACCCACAACCAAGCAGAGCCATGTCATTAAAGGACCGCATAACAATAAGAACCCCTAACTTCAACATGTCAACCTTGTTCATCGTGCACAAGGAATTATTGGCCAGTATGCTATTAAATAGAAATGCTATGAACGAATTTGAAAATGAAAGAATAATAATTTGAATGCATACATCCAAGTAACAAT